CGCGCAGAAGTAATTTAAGCCACGAGGAAGTAGGAATGACATCTTTAAAGATGTGATTTAATGAATATCTATGTACATATATAGTATCATAGGGTGGTCCAATAAAAGTTTAAAATGTTAAGCTCGCACCCCAAGAATTTTTCTAAATGCAAAAGAGGAATACCCGTATTTTTTGTTAAAAAAGTATATCTGGAACTGCCTCAAAGTCCACGAAGTTTTCCAAAATTTTTATATGTGGGAAAACACTTTTTTGGAGAAATAGTAGAGTTCTAAAAATATTTTCTTTTAAACAAAAAAANTGACGTTTATTAGTCGAGTGTTATTATTTATCTCGAAATTATTTTTCGTTTTGATAAAAACACATTTTAATATTTGCACGGCTTTTACCTGCATCCTCTCATTTTTCTAAATTTACTGAATTATGTTTTGCATATACATAAGACACGCGATGTCTTAGATACTCTTTTTAGCGAATTCGTAGCCTTTAGAAAGTTTTCGCGCAGAAGTAATTTAAGCCACGAGGAAGTAGGAATGACATCTTTAAATATGTGATTTAATGAATATCTATGTACATATATAGTATCATAGGGTGGTCCAATAAAAGTTTAAAATGTTAAGCTCACACCCCAAGAATTTTTCTAAATGCAAAAGAGGAATACCCGAATTTTTTGTTAAAAAAGTATATCTGGAACTGCCTCAAAGTCCACGAAGTTTTCCAAAATTTTTATATGTGGAAAAACACTTTTTTGGAGAAATAGTAGAGTTCTAAAAATATTTTCTTTTAAACAAAAAAATACTGGTACAGTGAAACCCGCTTAAGTACCCCCCGCTTAAGTACCTAACCCGCTTAAGTAACCAACATTTTTGGGCAATGCAAATTTTTGAATGTAATCTGAAGAAAATCCCTCTCTTAAGTACCTCCCCGCTTATTTACCAAACCCGCCTAAGTACCTCAATTTTTCGTACCCCATTTACCATTTTACCTATAATTTTCCCTTTTTAAGTGCGCTTTTAAAATTCCTTAAAATATTTACATATTGTGAATCTCAGCGTTACACACCTTGGGCAAAAAAATTATAAAAAATCAAAGGTAATTTTTAGCCACTTGAAACTTGCACATTATTAAGCTAAAATTGAATGGGATATAAACCTGTATACTCAAAAAACACATCTGAAAAAAAATGTTAAATTTTGATGAATTTTTTTCTTTAAGTGTTCTATAAAATCTTAAGCTTAGGTTTACATGGTATTTGTTAGGGAATGAACTGTATTTTAATTGAAAAATCTTAAATAAATACGTATAATTTATTAAATATTTATGTTTTATTCAAGGATTTACATATTTATGTAAGTTAACAAAAAGATGTAAATACATCAATAATTATGATCGCTTAGGTACCCGCATCGAGGTACTTTTAAGTACCCAACCCGCCTTAGTACCTCAAAAGCTGGCATTTTTCGTGAGGTACTTAAGCGGGTTTTACTGTATTATTTTTTTCCACTTAGAAAAATCCTAGGCGGTGAGAGATTAAAATTTTAAACTGTATGAATGTACTAATATATCACTTACCCAGTAGTCAGACGTCAGTTTCAATACTGACCGCCATGGCACTATTGTGACGCAATTGCAGTGTATTCGATTGGCCACGCAAGCCATTCTGTTGTTGTTGCAACTGTAATTGTTGCTTTTCGAATGATTGCTGTGCTCGCAAAAATGGAGCTAAATGTCGGCCAGGATGATCAGTCAAGCCTGATGTAGCATCGATGCCATCATCTAAATCCATAATATCCGACGATGATTCGGACATAGAAGATTTCTTCATATGTTGGCCTGTAAAATATAGAATACTTAGTTTAGTGAATATT